CGGAAGCGCCGGTCATCCAACGGGCCGCCTCGCTCGACGACGCGTCACACTTACACGCGGGCCTTTTCATCAGCGAAGAGGCGACCGTCTCATCGCTCGCCAGACAGAAGAACCGGGAAAGACGGACAACTATTATGCGCAATTGCTGGTGTCAGCGCTCACGCGCCACGTGCCCCGCGCACGCTCTCGGCGCGCGGTTCAACTCGCAGTCCGTTGGAGAGGCCCCGCGGGCGGGCTGGTGCGCCACGGGTGTACGTAACGCGCTGCGGTCGGCACTGCGTCACGCGCAAGACATTGTGGAGTTCGGCGGCCGAGTCACCGACATCCTGAAGGCAGGTGCTGGCAGATGCCAGCTTGGATGCGCTATCTTGACGTTGAGAAGATGGAGCGCCAGGCCGTCGCCGAGGCGCATTTCGGCGTGTCGCCCAGTGACGACGAGGGTGGGGATTCGGAAACCCCCGGCGTCCAGCGACGCCATTCCACGCTTGGTCGGTGCAAGTAACGTCGCGCCAGGCCCCTTCGCACGTTCGTTCGCCCTCGTTCGGTCCATCGGTCGCTCTCTCGCGGGCCACGCGTCTGCGGCCGTCTCTCTGCCTGGCATTGGGTGGCAGCGTGCCTGCGGGTGCCGCAGGCCCGCTGTGTGGGGCAGCGCTCGGCCTCAGCCCCTGGGTCCGTGGCAGTGGGCATGGTACCCATGTGCTTCGGCCTGCGCCCTGGCGCGCCAGCCGCCTGTGTCGTTTGACGCGGCGGGCTGGCGTGTCGGGTGTTGGCGCACGGCCGCGGCCTCACCCAACGTTGTTTGGGTGCCGCATCCCCCCCTCTGGGCGGCATCGCGGTCGAACGTCGCCGCGAAGGGGACTTATGGGGCAGTAATAACTTGTTATTGCAAGTCATAAGTCGACGCCCCCAGGCGGGAGTGCCCCGCCGTCGGCGCACCGCGCGATGGCGGGCGCCCGCATGTCCACCCGCCACGCGCCGCCGCTACGTCGGGCGGGCCAGGCCCCGCGCGGGCACGCTGGCGTGCCGCGCGGCCGTGCGTCGGGGTCCTTCCTCCCTCCGCCCCTCCGCGCACGGTCGCGACGTCTCCTCTTTGCCGCCTGGCCGCGGGGCGGGATATCAAGCACCCGGTCATGTCTGCAGCGCCCCACCTGCCTAGTGTGCACTCTTAAGGTGGGGCGGCTGGCCGGGGCGTGGTCCTCTGTCTGCCAGTGCGCGGCTCTGGACCAACCCTGGGGGCGACGCGCGGGGCGTCCGTTCGCCAGAGTGCGTCGGACGCGACCGCGGTCGCGCTTCTTTTCTCCCACCCACCACCCTCGAGGGGGGCATGGTACCCATGTGCTTCGGCCTGCGCCCTGGCGCGCCAGCCGCCTGTGTCGTTTGACGCGGTGGGCTGGCGTGTCGGCTGTTGGCGCACGGCCGCGGCCTCACCCAACGTTGTTTGGGTGCCGTATTCCCCCCTCTGGGTGGCATCGCGGTCGAACGTCGCCGCGAAGGAGACTTATGTAGCGGCTTCACGCGACCGATGCGTTGGGGGCTGGACAATTATGAATAATCCAGTCTTCCCAGGCGTCAGTCTGATGGTTGCTCGCGTTGCCATGTTGGCATGAACATGCATCATACTACCCGTCACCGCCACCACGCATGATTAGAAAGACTGTTAGCTGAAGCCACGTTCGACAAATTTCGATATAGTCTTGAAGGCCAGTTTCGAGTCTTTGCGGCAATTTAGGATCATCCAGGGGACCCACGAGCGCATTCGAGAGCGCGCGTCTGAGAGCCTCAGGATGATCTGGGACCAATGTTGGCGCCATGCTAGGCCGTCTCGGAGCCTACACGGGGCGTTAAAAGTCAAGTGGAGTTGTCGTGGGGCCATCTTGGCGGCCTCTTGGGTTGCCTGGGGCTTCGGGTGCCTTCTGAACGTCTGTGGAGTCCTCTCGTAAGCGCTTTAAGCCCATCTTCGGGCCAAGCTGGACCCAAAACTTCGGTTAGCTCAAGATCTATACCTAGATACATATGTATGTCTCGAAGACGCCTACGGCGAATCACCGCCGTCCTCTGGTTTTTTGGAAGCGCCTGCGTGGCCGAAAGTTGGGTTGAGCTTGGCCAAGCTGTCGGGCCACGCGTTCCCCGAGTGGGTTTCGAAAGGCGAGCTATCGGACCAGGTGGTTTCCGAGCTTTCGGGCCTCCTGGAGGACGTCTTGGATGGGGTCTTGGGCCGTCTTGGAGGCCTCTGGCGGGACTTTTAGGCACTCTAAGGCCATCTGGGGCCGTCTTGGGTGCATTTTGGGGCCATCTTCGCCGTCTTGGAGGCCGGCTTAGAGGCATCTTGGAGGCCATCTTGGCCGTCTTGGAGACCATCTTGGGCGTCTTGGGGGCCTTTTGGGCCGTATTGGGCTCTTCTTGGAGCCCTCTTGGGGGCCTGTTGGGCTGTCATGGGGCCATTTTGGAGGCCTCTTGGGCGCTCTTGGGGCGATGTTGGGTGCCTCTTGGGCCTTCTTGGGCCGTCGGCGAGCTGAAAAGAAGAAAATGCCAACATTCTTCAAAAACCCACGGAAACTCAATGATGTTGGCCCTTCTCGGGCCTTCCTGGAGTTCGTCTTGGAGGCCTCTTGGGGGCCTCTTGGCCAGTCTTAGGCCATCTTGGGCCGTCTTGGAGGCTTCATAGACGAACTTGAAGGCATCTTGGATTATCTTGGGCCGTCTTGGGGACATCTTGGACCATCTTTGGCGACTTGGAGGCCATCTTGGAGGCCATCTTGGGCCAACGTGATCATCTTGGAGACCATCTAGAGCCGTCTTGGAGGATTTGTTGCGGTCATTGAGGTCCCTTTTCGGGTGGCCGGCGGGACGGGCCGAAGCCCCAGGAAGAGTCCTTTTGGGAAAAGAACCAAAACCAAAAGCGAAAGGATTCAGCACGCCAGGCAACCCTGTGATGAATCAACAGGGGGCGACGGATGACGGAAAACGCACTTCGTCGCGATCCGTTAGTCGGGAGAAATAACACTGGGTGTGGGGGGGGGGGCAGGGGGGTCCCAGATCTAGTGGCCCTATCTGGGGCCCCAAAATGACGATTTCGCCAGGGACATCCTCCAAAAAGTGCGATCCGGTCGACATCGTCTTGGGGTCGCCCTCGGGAGGCCTCAAGACGGCCCAACACAGCCCCCAAAAGCGGCCCAAAAAGGCCCTAAGATGGCCCAAGAGCAGCCCAAAAGGCCCTAAGGTGGCCCAAGGTGGCCCAAGATGACGCCGTCACAAGAGCCTGCGCTTTCTGTCCCCATGCCAAGAAGGTGACGGAAAGAGCGAGGTACGAGTGATGTACGTTGAGTTTGGCGAAGCCTTCAAGGGAGGGGGTCCGGGGGAGGGGCGAAGCTTGAATGACATGGTCTGAGGGCCCATCGCACCCCGTTATTTCTCGAGTGGGACGGCCCTCTGGGTTGCTCGATGTTGAGTTTTTTGTTAAGAACGAGCGTTTCGCTCGAGACATCCTCGAAAAATTGGGATCTTGAAATCGCTGGCTTCGTCTTGGGATCGCCAAAAAACGCCAAATCGCTAGGGACATCCCCCCAAAAGTGGCATGTTACAACAGAGCGGATGGACTCTCAAGTCGAAGCGCCTTCGGAGAACTTCCAGGATAGGCCAAGATGCGAAAATCACGAAAAACTCTAGGGTTGTTTTAACAGTTGTTTGAACAACAAGCGTTTCGCTCGAGACGTCCCCTCAATTCTGCCTTCGGGAGGGCTCTCGGATTACCTCCAAGATGGCTCCAGGAGGGGGAGGAGGAGGAGGAGGAGGAGGAGGAGGAGGAGGAGGAGGAGGAGGAGGAGGACGAGGAGGACGAGGAGGACGAGGAGGACGAGGAGGAGGAGGAATAGGCACCAACAGTGGCACCCAAGAGGTCGGGAACCCTCCAGGCGGCCCCATCGGGGGGCCCAGTTCCCCCCCCCGCAGCACCCCTGGATTGTATTTTTGAGCCGCCGCGCCTGCACTGGCGCGGCGGCCTAAAAATACACTCCGTCGGCGTCCGCAGGGTGGTTCTGGGCCCCCCTTTTCTGGCCATTTGTCGGTTCTCTGCCGCCAGGGGTGCCTCCTAGCCTCAGCGCCGCCGCCTCAGCGCCGCCGGCGCTTGCGAAGACCCTCTTGCAGCATTCTGGGAGCCCTTGTCAGGCCCACATGGGTTGTCCTGAGGAAGCCTTGGAGGAGGAGGAGGAGGAGGAGGAGGAGGAGGAGGAGGAGGAGAGGAGGTGGGGGAGGGGAGGAGGAGGAGGAGGAAGAGGAGGAGGAGGATGAGGAGGAGGAGGAGGAGGAAGAGGAGGAGGAGGAGGAGGAGGCAGAGCAAGGTTCTTAACTGATAGCGGTGGCGTAACACGCGCTTACCAGCAAGGCTCCCAAGAGCGAGCGATGACGCAACACGTTCTCACCACCAAGACTCCCAATAGCGAGCTGCAACGTGAACATTTCTGGGCACGAGGACCCTGAACAGAGAGCGGTGACGCAACAATCTCTTACCATCAAAGACTCCCAACAGAGAGCGGTGACGTAACACGCGCGTGCCAGCAAGGCTCCCAAGGTCGAGCCGTGACGCAATAAGCTCTTACAACCAAGGCTCCCAACAGAGAGCGATCACCACGGCCAAAACGGCCCGAAGAGGCCCCCAAGAGGTTCCAAGTCAGCCCCAACAAGGCTTCATCAGGGCCCCATCATGGAGCTTTTTGGGAGCCGTTTTCAGGCCTACATGGCTTGTCCTGAGGGCTCAAGAAAAATCCCAAGAGGGCCCCAGGACGGCTCCAAGAGACTCCTGGGACGGCTCCAGGAGGTCTCCAGGACCAGGGGCCTTCTTGGACCTTTTTGTTCAGCCCCTAGACAGCCCAAGCATGCCTTTCGACAGAGAGCGGTGACGCGGTAAACTCTTACAAGCAGGACTCCAAATTCAGAGCGCTAACGTGGTACTCGCTTGCCAGCAAGGCTCCCAAGAGCGAGCGGTCACGCAACAATCTCTTTCCAGAAAGCCTCGCAGTAGTGAGCGGCACCGTCAAGAAGAGTGCGTCCCTGGACTCTCAGGCTCAAGTTTTTTATTTGAGTTACAATATCGTCGAGTTCTGGGAGCAGCGTGCATGGTTGTTGTCAGCCTCCGCGAGGCGAGGTGGAGAGGAGTCCTTCCCGCAGGGAGACGTCACATTCGTTTTCGGTGATATGGCAACAGCGGAGGCAATCCGTGTTGCAATCGCTGCTGGGCAGGCGGAGTAGGCGCAAAACGACACGCACAAAGTGAAAATCGAGCTGGAGTGCCGCCCACACATTAATTATCCCAGAAGAGCTAAAATACAATCGCTGGAATCTGAATGTTCCGCCCCCTTCCCTGGGCTCGACTTTGCTGACCCTCCTTGAAGACGGCAGGCGCAGTGATTTGGCGTTCGTCGTAAACGGGGAGACTCTGAAGGCTCACTCGCAAGTGCTGGCTGCAAGGTGCCTGGTGCTCAACAGTATTCTTCAGCGTGGCTTGCGAGAGTCCGATTCCACGGAGACTGTTGTACAACATTGCGAACCAGATGTCTTCAAGACCTTTTGCACAGCATTTGTATTCCGACGATTTCTCGCAGGTGCAGACGCGCATGGGGTCGCATTCTGCCAAGAAGCCGCCCGGCGGTCGGGAGGATGGAGGCACTGCCACAGCAGAGGTTGCATTTCTCCTGGGCGTTTTGTCTGCGAGCCGCAAGTACCAGGTATCTCGCCTCACTCTCTGGTGCAAGCAGAAGTTTTCCGATTCCATTTCGATGGAGACTGCCTGCGCAATGTGGATGCACGCGTACCTTCTCGAAGCAAAGCACCTCGAGGAATGTTGTCTATCTTACATAAACAGGAACATGGCGACGGTATCATCCAGGCCCAGCTTCGCCAGGTTGTCCACGGCCCCATGAAGCTGAGTCTCTTGTCATCGGGTATGTCTTCCGACAGCGCCGCGCCGGCTCTGTCCTTGCGCGAGGACGCAGCGCGGAAGCGCAAGCGTGAGTGAGCCGCAGCGGATGCTTCCAGGGCGCGTCTGTAATAGGGAGCGCGCGCAGAAAATCGGCGACTGGGAACGCTAGCAACTCCGGGCTCCAGGACTCTGAATAGAGAGCGGTGACGTCACAAGCTCTTCTCAGCAAGGTTCCCAGCAGAAACCGCGGTGACGCAGCGCGCGTTTACCAGCAAGACTGCCATGAACGAGCCAACACGCAACAAGCTCTTAACACCTAAGGCGCTCAAGAGCGCCGGGTACCGTGAGCCATCTTGGGGCCGTCTGGGTTCCGGTTGATCCGTCACGAGACACTCTCGGAGCCCTCGTCAGTCATCTCGGGGCAGTCTTGGAGGCCACTCGGGCATTCTTGGAGCGCGGGGCAACCCAAATGGCAAGAAGCCATAACAATTCACAATTTTTTGTTAAACAAATGCAACTGTTTCCCGATGCGGCGGAAACCCCAGTCGAGGAAAGCGATCGGCCCAACTCTAGAGCCGCCAACCCTGGAAAACCCAACCCTGGAAACCGCCAACCCTGGAAACTCCAACCCTGGAAAACCCAGCCCCGGAAACCCTGAGGATTACGAACAGAAGCGTCTCAGACGCCCCTCATTGGAATCCTATGAGACGACAATTTTGCGGAAGACGGCTCTATTCAGACAGCCCGATATTTTACATATACGCCTGGGCGTTGCTAAGACGGCGCAAGGCGGACCATGACGGCTCACGGCGCAAGACGGCCCAATGGGCCCCAAGACAGCCCGCTCGCCCCTGCCTAAAACGGCTCGCGCCTCAAAGTCGCAAGACGGCCCAAAGCAGCGCCGGGGCCTCCTCGCCAACACGGCTCAGGAATGCCCCAAAACGGCCCGATGCGAGCCCCCCGAGATGTCGCAAGGTTGCGCACAGGGCCTCCAAGGATAATCCAAAATTGCTTAGTCAATGCTCCGAGAACGCACTAAAGGCTCCGAGGCTCCGAAGACGCCACAAGACGCCCCAACAGGGCCCCAGCACAGCTCAATTTATTTTGGCTCAAGCCATTCTGGTCAAGTCACCCTGCGATCACTGTCAAACATCTTCCGCTGCATTTCACTCGCAAGTGCTGGCTGCAAGGTGCGCGGCAGTCGACAGTGTTCTTCAGAGTGGCATGCGAGGGTCCGTATCCACGGAGACCGTTGTACAACATTGCCAACCAGGTGTCTTTAAGACCATTCTACAGTATTTGCATTCCGGCGATTACTCGCAGGTGCAGACGCGCACGGAGTCGCATTCTGCCCAGAAGTCGCTTGGCGATCGGGAATGTGACGGTACTACCGCAGCAGAGGTTGCATTTGTCTTGGGCGTTTTGTCTGCAAGCCGCAAGCACCAGGCATCTCGCCTCACTCTCTGGTGCGAGCAGAAGCTTTCCGACGCCATTTCGACGAAGATTGTCTGCAGAAACAGGAACATAACGACGGTATCTTCCACGCCCAGCTTCGCCAGGTTGTTCGCGGAGTGCCCGCAGCTCCCCATGAAGCTGAGTCTCTCGTCATCGGGCACGTCCTCCGACAGCGCCGCGTCGCCCCTATCCTCGCGAGGGCGCCGCGCGGAAGCGCAAGCGTGAGTAAGTGAACCAACAAGGTTCCAAAGAACGCGCGGTGATGCAACGAGCTCTTTCAACGCCAGGCCCCCAAGAGCGAAGGGTGCCATGAGCCATCTCGGGGAGGTTGCTAAAGCGCTCTTTCCATTCCCGTGCCGGCCCAGGTAGCAGAAAGAGCGAGGTACGAGTGATGACGTTCTGGTGTGGGCGAAGCCCTAAAGGGAGTGGTTCCAGGGGAAAGGGGTAGGCCGGGGGAATGGACTCTAATGGCCGTTTTCGGGTTTCCCCTCGGGTTTTTGAATGTGTTTCGGGTTCTCCCTTTTTCCGTCCCAGAAGGGCCCTAGACGGCCCAAGAGGCCCCAAAGATCAGCCCAAGAGGCTTCCGAGACGCCCCGAGAGGCGTCCAAGAGGCGCCCCCACGGGCCCCCAAGAGGCCAAAATCATAGATTTTCAATCGGAAAACGTACATGTTTAGTATAATATGTTTTTTGGCTTTCGCAGCGTTGACGACGGCCCAAGAGGCCCCCAAGATCGCCCCACGACGGCTCAAGAGGCTACCAAGAGGCCCCCAAAACGGCGCAAGAGGGCCCCAAGACGGCCCAAGAGGCGCCCAAGACGGCCGCAAAAGAGGGACCACGAACCGAAAAGTCTAGCCTTTCGCCCCAAAATGCTCCCAAGAGGCCCCAAGAGCCTCCCAGGAAGCCCCAGAAGGCCACCAAGAGGCCAAAATCATTGATTTCCTATGGGGGAACGTACATTTTTAGCATATACGGTTTGTCGGCTTTCACGGCGTTGACGACGCTCCAAGAGGCCCCCAAGACCGCCCCAAGACTGCCCAAGAGGCTCCCAAGAGGCCCCCCAAACGGCCCAAGAGGGCCCCAAGAAGGCCCCAGAGGCGCCCCAGACGGCCCAAGAGGGCCCCAAGACGGCCCCAAGAGGGGGACCACGAACCGAAACGTTTAGCCTTTCGCCCCAAGAAGCTCCCAGGAGGCCCCCAGAGCCCTTCAAGAAGCCCCAAGAGGCCCCCAAAAGGGCCCCAATAGGACTCCCAAGGAGGCCCGGAGACGCCAAATATAGAGCGATCGGTAACGCAAAAAGCTCTTCACACCAAGGCTCCCCAAGAGCGAACGGTGACGCAAACGAGCTGTTAAGACCAAGGCTCCCAGCAGAGAGCTGTGAAGCAACAAGTTCCTGACACCAAGGCCCAGCCAAAGCTCAGGACTGGGCGGCAACGCAACAATCTCTGAACACCACAGCTCCCAAGACGGAGGGGTGACGTAACGAGCTCTCAACGCCAAGGCTCCCGGTACGAACGGTGGTGCGAGTAATTCTGGTTTCTGTTTCTGAAGCGCTCTTTCCGTTTCTGTACCGGGCCCAGTCTAATGGTTTTCGGCCCATGCCAGCCACCGTGCCTGGATTGTGGGTCAGAGTCATCAGGGATGTTTCTTGGGGTCTCGTCGAAGCGCTCCTAGGTGCCTCTTCGGGACAGTTCTGGGGCCTCTTGGGGGCAGTTTTGGGTATTCGGGAGTCTCTTAGGAGCCTGTTGGGAGCCTCTTGGGGCCATCTTGGAGCCTCCTGAGGACCTCTTGGGGGCCTCCTGACTACTGTTCGGGTCCTCCGTCGGGGCCCTCTTGGAGGCCTCTCGGGCCGTCTTGGGGCGATCTTGGAGCCTTTTTACGCCGTCTTCGAGCGTCGGGAAGCCGAAAAGGTGAGAAAGCCGAAGTCTTTTAATGTCAATGATGTTTGCCTCTGGGGGCCCTCTTGGAGGCCCCTGGGGGCGAATTGGGGGCATCCCCGGCAGTCTTGAGACCGTCTGAGGCGTCTTGGAGCCATCTTGCGGCGATTCGGGGCCCTCTTGGACCGTCGTTTTGGGGGCCTCTTGGGGCTCTCCTGGCACTTCTTGAAGCCCTACTGTGGCAGGAAAAGTTACGCGGGAAGCAGCGACGCGCCCCAGGGGCCATGCATGAGGATTGAGGCTCCCAAAAAAGGACCTGAGGACACTCCAACTCGTGTCTCAAGGGTACGGTGGCGGATGTACATACATATACATTTACATATACAAACATACATATACATATATATATATATATATATATATGTATATCAATGTATATATATACACACATACATATGTTATCAGCGTATGTACATATGTATATGTGTATACTTGTATACACACAGATATGGGATCCTCTCCATAGCGTTTGGCGGTGTCGTTCGTGGCCTGCTGTGTTGCCTCTCTGAACAACCATGTAGGCGACCGCGATCCTCTGCCATAGTACTCCGCTCCTTCCCGCTACATCGCACACCCCGCGCCCCCCCATTCTGCCGCACTCCTTCCCACTCCGCCCCGTTCCTCCTCGCTCCTTCTTACTCTTCATTTCTTCCCATTCCTTCATGTTCCTCCCCACTCCTCCACTCCCAATAGTTGCCACTCCTGCTCACTGCGGTTCATTCCGCTGCTTTTCGCTCCTTCGCACTCCTTCCACTTTTCCCTCTCCCAATCCATTCAACCCCGATGCTCCCTACTCATCCTCACTTCTCCCCACTCCTCCCAACTCTTTGTCTCTCGACGTTCTTGCTGCTGTTCATTCCACAGTGATTGCAACCACCATTGGGGCCGTGACCGCAACCGCCACAATTTGAAAGGTGCCTGGGCTACACCATCAATTGCACGATCATGGCATTCATCATTTGTCGTTAGCATCGCAAGTGACAGCGTTCTGGTCACCAGCGCCGTCATTACTGCGCAATCTCCGACCCATCATCTCCGCCAACACAACTAGCGCTCTCTCTTTTGCCAGATGGGGGCCAGAAAATTAAGGCGCCACCCGTGGAGAGGTGGCCGAATCTGAAGTAACCGAAGCAGGGGTGGCACACCGCAGTCACCAAGGGGGACTGGGGGACTCTTCGCTGTAACTCTTTGGCTTGGTCTTTCTCTCTCTCTCTCTCTCTCTCGCTCTCTCTCGTTCTCTCTCGTTCTCTCTCTCTCTCTCTCTCTCTCTTTGTCTGTCTGTCTCTGTCCCACTCACTCTCTCTCTCTCTCTCTGTACCTCTATGCAGACGGCAGCAGATCGGCGGTGCTGGCGGAGCCCCTGAGTGGCGGCCCGGGGAGGCCGGCGACATCGGCGACATCAACGCAGACGACATCTGACGGGCTCGCCCCTGGGCGACCCCCTCCGCCGACGCAACCCGAGGGGGCCCTGCGGGCACGCTCCGAGCCCACAGCAGGCCGAGGACGCGTGAGCGACGGAAGAGAGTCAAGCAGTGGCGAAGCGTCCTGGCGTGCCTATAGGCCTACCGAACAATGTTCTAGGAACCCCTTTTGTGGTTTCCACGAAATGTTCTCAGAACAGTTCTGACTGGGACTGCCTTGTTTCAACACATCAGGAATATGTTCTAAGAACTTTGTTCTTGTTTCTGGAATTCTTAGGCCACGCTTGGGTTCTATGAACATGTCGCAGTAGGCCTATAGGAATGCCGGGACGGTCGGTCCCTGCTCAAGAGAGCGGAGTCGATTGC